AGAGCAACACAGATTTTGTTCACAGTGTGAGATGGAACATATACAAAGAGACAGCTGTTTGCACTTAAGTAATAGTGATGGGTCCAGCAATGAAGGGGTGCCTGTGATTCCAGCACTCTACAGTTGCTGTCCCAGCCTGTCTTGGAATTCAGTCTATGCCCAAATGGGGGCTTCTCCTACTGCTGTGACATGGGTTAACCCTTTACTTTGCTTTATGGGGAAGCCTTCATTACACCAAGGCATGGCTTGAGAAGGCGTAGGCTCTCTAGAGAATTTGCACCGTGCATGAATCACACCCAAGCCACACTAATAACATTGAGGGCTATTGGAAAGTAGGCTTAAGAGTATTTTGGTTTAATCATGTATAGTATGAAAAGTGTAACATTATAAAATGCCATTCTGGACTCCCAGTGGTGCCACCTTAGATAACACATCATCTGTACATTACAAACACCATGCCATTCTTTTGGGTTGTGTTTCATCTGGCTGTACTAGAGATAAAATACTGGGCGAATACTGGAAGGCAGCATGTCACAGGTTGATGGAGTGCCGAGTAAGAACTTTAACATGACATTGTCACTTTAGCATGCCACAAGAACTGCATATGCCATACAGATAAACTGGGTATATCCCTAGGACATCACTGTTTGGAGCAGCAGTATGATTTGTATAACAATTATACGGTATACAAGCCCTTCCTTTAATTGTCATGGTATTTATTTATCTTCTATTTCTAGTATAAAATTCAGTAGGAAGAGATTCTGCAGTGCCAGATGTTAGCTTGTGCCCCCAAATTTATCACTGATACATACTCACTGGCAGCAATGTCTAGTTAACTTTATTTAGATATATAGTTATCTAGTTAGATATTAAAGGAGAACTATGAGGTGAGTGCTTTTCACTCCCCTCATAGTTCTAGCCGACCTGTGACAGTCTCATTGTCACAGGTCGGCTAGAACTATGAGGGGAGTGCTTTTCACTCCCCTCATAGTTCTAGCCGACCTGTGACAGTCTCATTGTCACAGGTCGGCTAGAACTATGAGGGGAGTGCTTTTCACTCCCCTCATAGTTCTAGCCGACCTGTGACAGTCTCATTGTCACAGGTCGGCTAGAACTATGAGGGGAGTGCTTTTCACTCCCCTCATAGTTCTAGCCGACCTGTGACAGTCTCATTGTCACAGGTCGGCTAGAACTATGAGGGGAGTGCTTTTCACTCACCTCATAGTTCTCCTTTAAATATTTAACATATGTAATACTTTCTACACAAGGTCAGCTACAGTCCAAGTCACGTTCTTCTGGTCAAATAGGACATATTTATCAATGTGTTTTGCTTAACAGCTGTCTAGATTAACCCACATCATCCAATCATCTTTAAACCTGCACTTTAGATGACTTCTGGAGGATGAAGTTTTGGTTTTGACTGGCTACTTTAGGGCATTATGTGCAGTTGTTATTGTGAGGTATATGTTTAAACAAGGACCACTAAGGTGACAATTAATAACATACAACTGCTCCTGTGCCCGGTCTCCCCAAATGTGGCTGGTGAACGATCCTATCAGTAGGTTGGCACCTAAGTACCATGAAGGTGACAATTAAAGTCCAGCAACTGCTCCTGTGCCTGGTCTCACCACATATGGCTGGTGAATGATCCTCTTAGTAGGATGGCACCTATGTACCATGACGAGGCACAAAGAAATAAATGAGCTGGCATCACAGATAGATAAAAGACCTGATGGGGGCATCACTCTACAGAAATAAATGTGTGTGTTTGGCCAGCATTACAAGCTTAACCGCTAGTGCCCACTGATCACTTCAAAAGCCAGAAGAATTTATATTCTATATCACAACTGACAGAAGATCTGCCTATCTTCATTCAACTAGTTCAAACTAGTAAACCAGTTTTCTTTATGTATGTAAGAAACTGCAAATTGGGTGTCTTGTCTGCCATCACGTTCGATAAACATTTCTGATATGTGTTTAGGAACAAAGATTACTTGAATAGTCACCATTTCCACTGATTTGCCTGAACATTTATTTTTATGGAGAATAACATAAATATGGCAAGAGAGTAATCGCTGCCTAAAGGCAAGAGCTGCACAGCTGACTTGTGCTTATAATAGATGACGATCTGGGGCCTCTCACAGACAAGTGACTGTAAGTGGAGTTTGTACATGGTTACAACAAATATTTAACGGAATAATAACACAAATAAAGAGCTTGCAGCACTGGCGTGTGAATAATGTGCTGGAATCTGGTGTGTGATCTGTGTGTGAACCCTCTGGGCAGTTTAGCAAAACCTGTTCCTGAGGGTAAAGAATTCCATCGCCACCACCTCCCCTTCCCACAATCCACATGTCCATCATACGGAATTCTTATACTTCCCTGCTAGTCTAAGCAGCACTACATGAGCTATAGGCTGACAGCATTTCATAGCTTTTGCAGCTTGTTTTTGGTACAGCTTAGTACAAAATTGCCTAACCTTTGCTGTAACGTTCCTAAACTTAATACACATAACAAGGAAGTTGATTAAACACTGCAGGCGATGTCCAGATCAACCAATCCATTTCCATCTGTCATTTACCTAGGTTAATAAAAAAATATAAATGAACACCTGATTTTGCAACGCTCGTTCGCTTTTCTAATGGTTAATGGGGACAAATCGGCAATTGTTTTTGACCGTATGGATGAGAAATTCATGAGCAGTGTGCATGTGCTGTAGTTTCACATCAGTTGGAGCGAGGTTGCCTTCCCCTGCTCTATCTTTTATGATAAAGGAGTCCAATATGTATCAACAACAAAAAAAGAATGAAAATGTGGAAGATATTTCTGGTGAAGGTATTTCTAACATACCGGTACATCTCTAACTAGTAAAATTCTATATGTATGATGTCAAAGGCTGGAGGCCTACCGCTCTTCATCCTCTGTAGAAAAGCTTGTATAGCATTCAGGGCCTGAGAGATGGCAGACAACACACTGATGGGAAGTTCCACACACACAACACAGCCAATGGGAGAGTCCGGACACAGCAGACGGCTTCTATACAGTTCAGTATGTCAATGAGAAGTTCACAATGTACACAGAGGTATATAGCAACACAGCAAACACATTCCACACAGGCCATACAGACCCCATAGAACACACTGGCCTTTATTTATTAACACCAAGCACAGAGCAATGTTATGAAGTAACGCCTAGCAACCCATCAGAAATCATCTTTCTACAGTCTATACCTAACGTCTGAAAGATAATATCTAACTGATTGCTTAAGGCTACTGCACATGGCTACCCTTCATGAGATTCGATGGAACAAATGCCATAGACATCCAAACGCAACCTCTTAGTTGGTTCAGAAAATACAACCTGAAATTCATATTAATTATATAATGGCCTCTGTGTTTTAGTTATTGCCACTCACAAACTGTCTATTTTAATAAACAACCCAGACAAACTCCACTGCTACAAATTAATTATATACAATCCAATAAGGTTAAAATATTTACGGCACAGGAATTGGAATAGAAACCTTACTGTAAAAACTCCGGGAAGAACATAAACATTTCATAATGCCATTAACAGACAGGCCAAACAAGAAGGACCGCTAGCAGCATACTTCAAATGACATCTGACTCTGAAAGTCAAGGCCTGTTAACTATTATAATAACCATGTTTTGTACAAGGGTCTGAACCCCATACTCTTCATAGTAATGCTTTATCAATGTATTCTGCATGATTGCACCCCCATGCAATTAAAGTATCGCCATCTTCAATGTATCCAATACAACATATACGTTAAACATTTGAACCTAATTTGGGTTCTTTGTATGTATATAAAGTCAATTTCATATTACTGTGCTCTAATGTATATAAGTAATCTTTAAAGCTTAAAACCTGATCTCCGTGATACAAGTCAATTTCCTTCATAAGTGCAGTTAAGTGAAGAAGTGAATAAAACTTAATTGAAAAATACCTTAGTGAATTATGTGATTCATTGCTTTCATTGAGAAAACGCAGCTATGGCCGGGCACCCGGTGTAAGTATCCTAGAGGCAGATTTGTCACATCTGCTCACTTTGTGGCAGTGGAGAAACTACAATTCCTATCATGCAATTCTTCACTCCGGGCAGAATCTTCTCAAAAGTGAATTATGCAAGTGGGTACATAGCAGTAATCCATTTGCCTTAAAGTAGCATCCTTGTCATGTGACCATTCATAAAAGTCACTGCTCAGAGGCTCTTTAGCTGTAATTCCCTGTCTAGGGGACTGGACACTTGTGGCTCCTCTCCCATCATCAAGGTGACTGGTCCTCCCATTGCCCCTGTTTAGTTTAAGTGGCTCTTTGACTGACATCATCAAATCCTAATCGAATTCAGCTGAAGCATCCTGCCTGTTTGTTCAATTCTCTGCCCTGCTCCACTCAATATCTAACTAGGATATGTTCCCCTTGACAATGCCCACAGACCCATCCAAGTAACGCCCAACCAGGAACTAACATCCCAATGAATAATAGGATTTGAAGTTTACTCTGGGCTGAGGAGAGATGGGAGAAATGACATGCAGCGCCGCTGTGTGCCTACCCATATAGCCCGGTGAGATATGAAGAAAAAACGTAATGATATAACAGGTAAGCTATATCTGTGTTGTTTTCTATGCATTTGGAGTTCAATTACAAATTATCATTGTTAGAATGAGGGGAATAATATGATAAAAAGTAATTTGGATGAGGATATCTCGGAGTGGAGCTTTAAGTTGTTAAAGAAAACATTATGGCAAATTCAGGCTGCTATACAGTCTCTTGTTCTCTATGAGTATACATTTCCCAGATATACATTTTTAACAATGGCTAAACAAAGCGCTACAAATGTTGCCCACTTGAAGCAGCAGACATGCTACCTAGGGTAATTTACTTCTGTTGCTACATTGATAATGAAGGTAAGATGACTTTCCTGGTATAAGAATGAATGAATTATAGAGTATAATCGTTATATTTAAAGTGAGTCCTACCTTGTTCACTGCTGTTGTCCCCACTCTGTGAAGCATGGCCACCACTGGAGGGTCCCGGCGTTCCAGCAGAATGTGTGGATACTGCATCATCGTGATCTCGCCATGAGGCAGGATTCTGATGGGAGCCCCAGATGAGGTAAGGAGGACAGCCATGAAAAAAATGAAGAGGAAAGTTAGGTAACGGCGATGGTCCATCAACACGAAGGCCCTGCTCCAGCACATGGGAACACAAACACACAAACACAAATTCTTCCCATTATAGCCAGTGTTATTTTTATATCTGTTTATGAAAAATAGCGTGGTGAGTATAATTTATCTTTTTCTCAGTCTAACAAAGGAACACAGTTGACTTCATCAAGACATTTACATGGGTGTCTGCACAAATGCTAAAACACTTTGCAGTTCATTATTTTGCTCTTTTCTCAAATGTGCGCCGCTAATATGCTCTGTTTGAGGATAGGCTAATTAGTTACACACACTTTTCACATCAGCTTGACTCATCTGCATACTACAGATTGCCAAAATGAAGACTGAACATATGATATGTAAGAAGGATACACAAAAGACACCAACCACTCCAATGCTTTGGTAAATCCGTGAATATGAATATGATGAGAATTTTAGGACACAAATACAGGATGTGACTTATTTTAGCATCACTAACACAACTCACCATGTAGGGTGCTATAGGTTCTACAAGGATATAGAAGACATGACATGTATGAAGACATGAGTAGTATAAAGCAGATAGAATGTTGCAGCCTCTTTCCTACATCATACCACACACTGCTGCCTACTCCTTAGAACATATAAAACCCATGGGGCAGTTTTGTTTAAATAAAGAGTATAATCTTTGTGTTCTTCTGGCCAGTCAGGTTTAAGGGTAATTCCCCTTTTGTTTACACAAAATACACAAATGAATGCTGCTCTATATTCATTGATGTTTTTTTTAATGTATTTTTAAATGCAAGGAATGTAAGTTCCTGAACTTGACCTGATGAGAGCCCTTGCAACCCCCTGTACAACAGAGCTCAGACTTGGAAAGGGAGAAGCAGCACACATAGCCAGTCAGCTGTGCAGCAGTGCTCATGTGCTATCAAGGGACATTCTCATAGGAGGAGAGAGCAGAGCGACAGAGAGATAAGCTTATTAGTATGCTACTTGTCTGTTTACTGTCTATTTACAGGCTGGCAGATGGGGCAAGGCTTGTAAGTGTTACTTAACTGCAGCAAAGAAAAAAACAAGTATCCTGCCTTGCCAGACAGGGCTGTAAATCTAGCAACCCAAAAGAGAATAATACAAATAATTTGGCAGGTAAAACAGCTGCCATATATGTATTGTATCTGTGTATATAGATCAGGGGTCTCAAAGTACTGGCCCGTTAACCGGTACTATGTGGCTCGCAGCCAGCTGACAAGTCAGACACGTGGTCACGGACCACGTACCTGACTTGCGGGAGCAGCTACACGGTCTACATCTCCGTCGGATGCAGACCGCAGAGCTGTTCCTGTCATTGCCGACACTCAGTTCCTTTCAGCCAGCGCTCTGAAAGTCTTCACTGAGTGCTGGCCAAAAGAATGCAGACCTTATTAATGAACCACTGGATCACCGGGGACTGTGCCTCCTTGTCTCCTCCTTTGTTTCATCTTATGTGTGTGGGGGGGGACCGTGTGGAGAGTGTATTATTTTATGTGTGCGGGGGAGAGAGTGTATTAGTGAGTGTGTGTGTGTCTGTGGGAGATGGTTATATTTTTTGTGTGTATGTGTCTGTATTAGGCCTCATTAACATCTGTATGTTTAGGTGCGCTTAGGAATTCCTGCACCAGGAATGTGCGTTTTCCTGTAGCAGGAATCCCCAAACTGGCGTTTACAAGCGGCAGCTGTCACCCATTTAAGTTAATGATCAGATGACATCCGCTGCGTGTAAACTCCTGCACACCGCATGTAATCGTATGTGGTATGATTACATGTGGTTAGGAATCAATCACTATCCATGGAGACACATAGATCTTGCACGCAGGATTCTTTTCTAACTGCATGATCTCATATCACATACCATTGCATGCGGTGTGCAGGCATTTACATGCTGCGGCTGTCACCAGATCATTAATTTGAACGGGTGACAGTTGCCGCTTGTAAACGCCAGATTAGGGATTCCTTATTGTGTGTATATTAGTGTGTGTGTATTTCTGGTTGTTGGGGTGGGGGTATGTATTTCTATGTGTGCCTATTTCTGTGTGTGTGGGAGGGGGAGCGTGTTGCGTATTTCTGTGTGTAAATGAATGTGTGAATCTTTTGGTCCTCTATGATTAAAATTAAAACCTGTGGAAAAAAACTCACATATATACCGACACTGCACACATATACACCTGTATACATACTGATATAACACACACAGAAACATTTACACACATACCGACATCACAAATCCTGACAATACACACACACAAACCATCACAAAAAATATACTGACATTGACACAAAGAAACCATCACAAACACATACATACATCATAAACACACGGAGGCATTAACAATGGTACCGTATATAGTTACATTTTATTTTGAAGTATGAATTTTGGCAAGCGGCCCCCATGGGAGAAAAAAAATGTGTCCAGTGGACCCAAGTGAATTGAGTTTGAAACCCCTGCTTTAGATGTTTGCCTGGCTTTCAGCTTAACTATGCCAGAGGGGAAGATGCAATGTGGCTGCAGGAAATAGAAAGTGAGACATGTCTGTGGGTGAGCTTCAATAGAAACAGTACACCTGAGGAAGGACTCTGTAATAAAGTTGCTAAAATAAAGATTGCTGATTATCTTTATAAAAGGCTTATTTTAGGTATACTTTGCTTCATGCTAAAGAAGTTTCATATAAGACTTTCTTTGCCCACTATTGATGGGTGTATGGGCAACCACCAACCTTCCCTCATCATAATCTGCTGGAAATATTGTTTGGGTGGGATAAAATATTCAGTTGTTAAACGGGAGGCATTGGTGGGCTCTTAAATGATCATGGTTCCTTGCACAGTATAAGCAGTTGGCAGTATGGTCATCCTATATCTAACAGATTTAGCCATTGCTATGAATGGTCAAATCTGTTGCAGAAAAGGCTGCCCACCACCAAAAGGGAGACATTGTAGTCAGACTGATCGGCACATGTTCAGGCAGCTTTAAAAAGTCTTGTGCTTATATTAAGACAACTCATTAGCTACAACATGGACCTTGCAGTGCCTCTCAAGGGCCATTTGGGTAATGGGCTAGCCAGATGGCATTGACTCCTGCTGTTCAACATATGACGTCACGAGGATGAAGAAAAGTAAGGCAGATGTTGTATTCAGGCTGACAGAAGGAATTTTCGGATTTTCAGTAACTGCTCATCTCTCAGATCTAACTTTACTCATTGCAAAGAGCTGCTGAGCATATACTATGAAACTTTCAGTCTGAAATGACTATTCAGTACATAATTGAAAACTGATAAGACAAGCCTTGAGGAAGTTTTAGACATAAACTGCCTGACTTCACAGTGTGAGGGCCAACAACCCCTGCTGTTCATATACACAGCCAAATGAATATCTACTGGAGAGACTAGAACTAAGACTGCAAGACAGAGCACACCTAACGCAGAAATGTTGGTAAAGGAACTACAATCCTAGAAAAACAGACAAACAATGAGAATCAAGCAAAGAAAACAGATTGTATGGAGGGTGCTAGCCATTTTATAAATGTTTAAAAAACAAACTGCAATTTTTACATTCTATGAATTTGCTTGTAATTTAAATTGTAGTTACTGTGCAATGTGAGCTAATATACCCCAAGACAGTCATAACACAGACCTGACATTGTGAAAGGGCCTAGGTCTGCTGAACCTGGAGCACCAACATTTCAGAGGGGGCACACTATTTTAGCTTATCCTGTCCAGTGTAAACTTATCAGGATGAAACAAGTACGTAATCCTAAACTAAACTGACAATACACTTATTTATATTATCCAAGCCAAACTGAATAAAAATGACAGGGTGGAATTGTAAAAAAAAGTACCCATGGGTGCATATCATTAGTGTTAAATAGGGTTCTCTGCATGTTTCCTTCAATTCAGAAATATTTTTCTGTTGCTTTTACACTTTACAAAGTTCTACAGCTAATAAAATGCTCAATGAACCAAAATGAACTACGGTAAAATACTAATGTTACAATTAAAAAAAAAAGATGCTTCCCTACAAAGGCGTGCGATCCTTCCATGGTAAACGCAGCCATACATAAAATGAGGTATAGGTAGGAGATTTATTACAGAGAGTCATTTGTTCTATACATCTGTCAGTACACCTAGTTACCACGCAGTAGCAAAAATTTCTAGCACGTCAGGTTTGCATATGGGATTTTCATTAGGGCACACAAATACAAACACTGACATATTTAAACTGCATTCTTATCAACTAAATATTATTACCCCTCTGCCTTCTACTTTGTATAAATTACTCTTAAGGTGCCCATACACCTTACAATTATCTTACGATAATCGTATGCGATCGACTTTTCGTACGACAATCGTAACGTGTGAATAGAGTGCCCGACCGATAGTACTGTACAATCGTACGACTTTTGGCGGTCAAGCATGTTTGAAAACTTTGCTAGATCGTACGATTTTCGTAAGGTTGCTGGCGTTTCCATCCGTCAAAAGTCGTACGATCTACACTGCGTTTGCGCTAACGAAAATACGGCAAATCATTTACCGCATATCGTCCAGGTGCTTTTAGTTAATTACGGCTAAATTAATCTTGCGATCATCAGGGCAGGATGGGGCCGTCGTACGAAAATCGTACGACGGTTCGATCATCGGACGAAAAGTTTCGTCCGATAATCGTAAGGTGTATGGGCACCTTTACTACCACCTTGTACTTTAAATTAATTACCTTTACTGTTTCAGCCTGTGATAAAGACCAAACTAAATCCTATAGCTTAAATCAATACAATATTTGAGTAAGTGAAAGGAAATGCAATTAAACCGTAAATCATTAAATTGAAGTTTATCATTTTTTGGAGGATGCAGGGAGTCTCCATTCCAGATAATAAATTGTGTTGCTGGAAAGCAAGGTGGACACATTCCTTAAACACTTGAA